ACTCGTAATGGTGTATTTGTAAGAAAAGGATATTCCGCTGAAGGAATGATCAAACTTTGTACTATTGATAATATGATTAATGAAATTTCTAATTTTGCTTATATGCTTGAGTCAATTTCTTTATGGCACTCTAGATTAGCATATATTGGTATCAGTACTATAAATAAACTAATTAAATTTGAGTTGATCTCATGCAACATTCATGATTTCGGAAAATGTGAAATATGTGTTAAATAAAAAATGATCGAGAAACCTTTCAAAAGTGTTGAAAGAAAATCAAACGTGCTTGACCTTGTGTATTCTGATTTGTGTGAATTTGCTGGAATGCTAACCCGTGGGGGAAATCGTTATTTCATAACATTTATTGATGATTGTTCGAGGTTCACACATATATACCTTTTAAAACATAAAGATGATGCTTTTAATGGTGTTAAGGTTTATAAAGCGGAAGCAGAAAATCAATTAAATAAAAGAACAAAAGTACTTTGAAGCGATAGAGGCAGTGAGTACTTTTCTACATAATTTAATGCATATTGTAAAGAAGATGACATTATACGTGAATGTTTCGCGCCTCGTACACCACAACAAAATGGCTAGGCCTAAAGAAAAAAATCAAACATATCAAGAAATGATAAATGCTATGTTAATGCATTCTGAATTGACATTTAATTTGTAGGGTAAAACATTATTATCCGCATGTCACATAATGAACAAGATTCCTTTGAAAATAACTCGTATTTCTCTATATGAAAGAAAGATCACAAAATATTTATTATTTTAGAGTGTGGGAGTGTGTAATATATTACAAAAATACGGATCCCAAGAGAACCAGATTAGATCTTCGAGCGATCAATTGTGCTTTCATAGGATATGCACCCAACAATAAAGCATATAGACTTTTAATTTTGAATTCTAATGTAATTTCGAGTGCCAATTTTGAAACAATTATTCTATCCTTTAGTTTTTTACCTCATAAGTTAAACTCGATTTGTGCAATATGTTATTTTTCTTACTAAGATTTTTACATGGGCCTATCTCGAAACCAAAGGCTCATGATACCGAGACACCTTTGTGAGAGACACACCACTTGTCCATCTAAAACTTTAAGGTGATAGATGAGTGAGTTCTCTCATATATAAGTGTTCAATCTTCCCTTTTATAATCAATGTGGGACTTCTTCCTCACACTTGATTCTCAACACTTTCATGGTCATACTGTGATTTAATAAAATAACACTATTCCTCAATTCTTGCAAAAATCGCAGATTGATTCGAAACAATTTGAGAAAGCACTTAGGTATATAAAGTCTGGAATGTTTAGCAATGCTACTCTGGAATATGGAGGTGGGAGATTGGGTTCTAAAGACTTCTTTGTCCAACCAACAATATTCTCAAATGTTCAGGTATATATTGATTCTTTTCTGCAAGTGATTTACCGAAATGCACGGTAAGACTTTTTTTTTTGTATTGAACAATTTTCTTACACATGCTAATTGTTATTTCTTAGGATGATATGTTGATAGCAACAGATGAAATATTTGGGCCAGTTCAGTCCATCTTGAAACCTTTAGCTATGATATTCATTATCAGTTTTATGTTAATGTTTGTTATTTCAGTTGTTACTACGGATCATAGAGAAGTGGATGATTTTGCGAGTATTGCATTTTGTGATGCTACTTGGAGTGAAACGTTAACTAAGAAAAACTATGTGGTGCTTGCTTTACGTGATTGTAAATGTAATGTTCATGTTGTTGAGTAACTTAATTTGATGTCTTAACTTTATCAATTGCCATAAACGGAAAATAATAAGTGTATTACATTCCTAAATTTTGTTGTTGCAAGTTTTGCATATTTATATCTAACATAATAGCATGACCTTGACTAAACGAATTGAATTTCAGAATCATAATATTGCTTCTCTCTTTTTAACTAATTTCTTTCATGTTGGTTTCAATTGGTTAATGTATGTTTGAAAATGATATATTAATTTAATGAGAAATTTTGGATAAAAGAAAGTAACTTATAATTAATTATTTATTGACATTATGAAAATAGTATATACTCTCTTATTTTAAAATATTTATTTAAAAATTATAATTACATGATCAATTAGGGGAAAAGTTATAAATATTTTTTATAAATGGGAAAAAGTCAATTTTGAAAAGTTAATTATTAAATTAATTATTTTTATAAACGAGAATAAGTTATAAATATTTTTATAAACGGAAAAATATCTATTGTTGATACAATTATTTTTATAAGCGAGAATAAGTTACAAAATTTTCTATAGACGAGAAAAATTTACAAATATTTTTTATTTTATTTTTCAATTTAATAGTTGTAGATTGTTCTTTATAATGAAGGTCCTTGCATGCATAAATTCACGGGAACATGTGAACATATCCATGAGATATTACTGGACGGTTCATTTTAATGTCCATTTTTTAAAATTTTCTTTTGTTGTTGTTTTATATTTATTTACTATATAATTCATTTTGATTAAATTATAAAATCTTTTTAGCAAAATTCAATTAACATTAAAGACTTTTGTTGTTGGTTTATCATAAGTATGTTACAATTTGTAACTATGTGAATGTTAACTAACTGAATAAATGAAAATAAATTTTACAAATGATAGTTTAGTAGACATGTAATATAAATTCAGACGAGACTCGTGCGATAGGACGAGTTTCTTACTAGTTTATCTAAAACAAGTTTCAATAGTTCTTATTTTTAATTATATTATTCATAACATTCTTGTTTACATTTTGTCTTCTATATGTATTACTATTTTAATTTAAAATTACTATTATTCTTAAGGATAGTTTGAAAACAAATGTGCGTATCATATGAGTATCCGTGTGAACACACGGATATCCCACTAGTTTTCATAATGTCTCAAATATGTATGAAAAACCATTTTTTATGTAGAGTATCTGGGAAAATCAAATTCTTCTTCCATTCTGAAATATATTTGACACGTTCAATGTTCAAATGCCACCATCGTTCGTGGTAATTTTAATTTATCTCATTTCAGTAACAGTACATGCTTTATCATCATCCAGCTAAACAAATCCAAAATTGCATGACCTGAATATAGTGAATCATTCACAGTGCGACGTCATGTGATAAGAACGACCAAAGTCAATAATCCACAAATATGTGCACTTGAGTTCACAGTACCCACGATCTTGACCTCTTTCACATACAAACAAGTTGCTTTGAGTTCATTCTTCTACACTCTATCTCCTTTAAGAATGAGAAAAAAAATGTAATATAATCACATCAAGACCAATAGTTTATTTTTATGTAAATAATAGTAGTCACCAAATGGTCATAATAACCTGGTAACGAACATATTAAGATATTTGTCTTTTCTTCTTCTTCTTCTTCTTATTATTATTATTATTATTATTATTATTATTATTATTATTATTATTATTATTATTATTATTATTATTCAATTTTCACCCCCTAACATCACCAGATATGTGATTATGTTGTTGAAAATATTAACATGTTGCAAATCGAATACCTCTTGTATCTTTCGATTGTATAACTGTTGATTTGCAAACAATTTGTTAACGCCTTTGACATATACAGACTCTTCAACTTGTTTCAAATCTCCTTCGACATCGATAACTCCAGGATATGATACATCATCTCATTTGAGACACAGGCGAATCAATATCGTGGTTTTCTGTTTCATCTCTATCCAATCAATATCCCCTATGTTAGTCAATTTCGTATTTACACATCACCTTCGAAAGACTGCCACTCTCAATCTTCTCCCTACAATAACGAGTTACAACTAAGACACATTTAACTTAAACATCAATATAAATAGTTGACCATATTACTCTCTAAGAGAAGACTTGAAGTAAATAATTGTATATAAATAATGTGTAAATTGCATACGATGTAGTAAAAGAGTGTCATCATAGTATCACTGAAAACTTACTATGATAGTACCAAAGTTACACTTACAACATTTTTTATCTCATCTTAATATTTGTACAAGACTAAATAATTGTATAGACAAGGTGTATTATAAGAGTAAGACTTGTACGGGCATAAATACAAATCCTATAGATTTAGGCACACTCACAATTTGTAAAAGAATAAGACTTTTATGGTCACAAAATACAAATCCTATAGATTAAGACTTGTAAGAATTGCTCTTATAAGAGTGTCATCATAGCATAGCATTGCTCTTTCATAATTAGAAACTTCAGTGAAGAGTCCAATCGAATCTTGTTTAGTTTTCTTCAAGATCTTTGACTTTTAAAACTCAAAAGTTAACCAATAACCTGTCCATGGAATATAAAAAGAGTAAATTGCAGGGTGCTATAGGAGTAATAAGTTGGTAATAGGATTAGTTGTCAAGCCTCTTGAATTAAAGACCGACCTTAATGCTTCAGCAGCTATTCGTCCGGAGGTGATGTCAAATTCAACTGTAGCATATGCATTGTCAATAATATAAGCCACATTTCCATCATATATTTGGTTCTCTGCCCCTAAAACAATTTGCAAGTCATTTAGGCATGTGAAGTCCCAACGTAATCCTTTCTCCGGGGTGTAATAACTTTCTTTTATTGTCCAGTACATTGTGAAAAACTGAATTTTTATCACAAACTAAACTGAATTTTAACATCATACATCCATCTATGGCTAACAAACCCACCCTAAAAGCTACCACAACCAAATGCGATTAAGCAACCAACCGTGAAAATCAATTATAGCTCAAGTGAAAGGCATAAGATGAGATCCAATACAAGTACAAAATATACCCTGATATTTCTACGATGATAGTTAATCACTAACATAATACTAGCAATAAAGATCAACTAAATGCAGTTAAACATAAAAGTCAAAATGCTCATATCCTATCTTTTCCAATCTAACAACAAAATGCATCTAATTGCAACCAAGAATTCTAAACATCGATGGACCATAACATTGCATACATCTAGAATCAGTTACTTCATTTGCGTTTTCAATCTAAGGCTTCAAATTGGCATCCTTCCTGAAATCTTCCATTTTCTCTTCCAGTACCCCCAAAGCAGGGTTAGCTTCATTCCCTGCTCCGTCGTTTTCAAACAGAGTTTCTACAACGTTCTGGAATGTTTCTTTTTCAGCAGCAAAAGCTTCTGGAACGCTCCTTGAGGCTCCTGCTTTTTCTTTCTCAGTTTCAGCCACAGAAGTTTCTGGAACGTTATTAGAGGTTTCTCCTTCCGCTTTCTCACTTTCAGTCACAAAAACTCCTGAAATGTTCTTAGATGTTTCTTTTTCAGTCGCAGAAGCTTCTGGAACGTAATTAGTTGTATCTCCTTCCGCTTTCACTCCTTCAAACGCAGAAATTTCTAGAACATTCTGCGATGTTTCACCTTCCAATTTTTCTCCTTCAGTCGCAGGAATTTCTAGAACGTTCTTGGAGGTTTCTCCTTCCGCTTTCTCGCCATCAGCAGACGAAGCTTCAGGAACATTCTTCGCGATTTCTACATCCACTTTCTCAATAACATCAGCAGAAGCTTCTGGAACATTCATCACGATTTCTATTTCCGCTTTCATTTCTTCAACTGCGGAAGCTTCAGGATTGTTTTTGAATGATTCTACTTCCGCTTTCACTTCTTCAATCGCACAAGCTTCTAGAACGATCTTCGAAGTTCCTCCTTCCGCTTTCACTTCGTCAACCGCACAAGCTTCTGGATCGTTTTTGAATGATTCTACTTCCGCTTTCACTTCTTCAACCGCACAAGCTTCTGGATCGTTCTTGGATTTTTCTTCTTCCGCTTTCACACCTTCAACCGCACATGCTTCTGGAACGTTCTTGGAAGTTCCTCCTTCGGCTTTCACACCTTCAGCCGTAGAATCTTCTGGATCGTTCTTGGAAGACCCTCCTTCGGCTTTCACACCTTCAGCAGTAGAATCTTCTGGATCGTTCTTGGAAGTTCCTCCTTCGGCTTTCACACCTTCAGCCGTAGAATCTTCTGGATCGTTCTTGGAAGTTCCTCCTTCGGCTTTCTCATAACCAACAGCAGAAAGTTCTTGAACATTCTTGGAAGTTTCTCCTTCCACTTTCTCACTTTCAGCCGCAGAACCTTCAATACCTTTAGTTTTCTTAACCCTCTTCTTCGTCTTACTCGATGATTTTCTCTGATCTGGTAACTCCACTAAATCGGATCGCGATCTCTTCGCCGATGAACGAGTTTTTCTCGTCGCAGAGCGCGTTACTCTTACCGGCGACACCGTAGCCGCTGCAGTTTCCTCAGCCTTGCGTTTTCTTGGTGCCATTTTTGAGAAATGCTCTCAAATGTTCTCTCTCAATTTCTCTCTAAGAAATGCATGCAAACTACTTTTCTCTCTGTGCTCTCTTCATATTCTAGCGTTTCGTGATTTCCCGCGCTTCGGAATTTGAACGAACGGCTTTGATTAGTTCTGGCATAAATTGACCGTTGATTACCTAACCCCTCATTTACTTTACAGTTTCTTTTTTTTTTTTTGGTGAGAATTATTGGTTTCTCAACTAAAAACAATTGAATTTTTTTTGGACCAAAAACTAAAAAAATTGAATTGAATACGGACAATAAATGTAATTGAGATGAATGGTTCTGGTACACAATTGACATGGATGAATTAGGATTAATTGGCCATTTGTCTTATTTAATTAATATTTTTTGTTTAATATTTTTTGTTTAATATTTTTCTTTTAAATAATTAAGTATGAAGTAAAATTGCATAAATATTCTGATTTTTTTCCTCGCGTAATCTACCAATTTGAATTTAATACTTATACACTTAGACTTTGTTTAAATTGATGAAATTAAATGGATAAGAACGAAATAAGATGAAATAAAATGATATTTCATTGTTTGGACCATTTAAAATCGGATTGAGTTGGGTAGAATAAAGTTGCATGGATTTCATTCTATTCTATCATTTATTGACATATTTTTTCTCCTCCGATTTGAACGGAATGAAAATTTATCTTGTTTTGTCATAAAATTTTCAAACAATTAAATGATATATTCGTTCTGCTCCGCTTCATTTCCCGACGCTCTACTCTATTCCGCTCTGTTTATTTCATAATATCCAAACATAGCCTGAAACATATTACACCAACCCACATTTTCTTCTATTTTCAAATCCCAATTTAATCTTACCCTATATTTTATCCCTTTCTCTCACTATCAATTATGGATATTGATTTTAGAAATTCCCTCAAATTTTATTTCCTTGCTTCTTTAATGGACTCTGAGGATGATATGTAAAATGCCAACTGTAATACGATGAGAGAACTGACTTTAGGGTTTTGCATTTTATCGCAAATGTTGCGGATAATAAGAGTCGCCACCGACTTTTTTTTATCCAATAAAGAAAATGGTAAAAAGAACAAGAAAGACCTTTTGAGAATTTTCTTGAGTTCGGGGGTAGGTTATGAAAAGGGAAGGTGTTAGCACTCTTTTCATCCGTAGTTATCTATGGACTCTTATTTGCTAGCTCACTTTTGGAAATGCTTTGTGAATGTGTATGTTTGAAAATATTTTGAAAAATGCCTACGTTTGGCAAACTTTGTAATGATTCTCGTATTGTTGAGAACGCATACAAAGTGTTGTTTTTCTTTGAAAATATTTCAGAAAATTATTCGTGTGTAGAAAGATGTTTGTTTTGAAAAGTTTGTGAGCAAGCGACTACGGGCGTTCTACCTACTCAAAAGAAGTCTTTGTTCTTTTCCTTCTCCTTTAGATAGTGCTATCCTACCATTAGTTAGTAGAAAGACCTAATCATTGGATGTGAGGGACATGCGTGAGTCATCGTACAGTCATAGAAGACAACTTATAGGACGCTTTAACAATTGTCGTAAGGGACTAAGATTGTTTATCAAAGGCAACATCGAAGGGTCATCGAGGGACTACGATCTTTTAACCGGAAGTCTTTGCTAAAGTATCCCACGTTCGAGGGACATGATTATTTTATCCGAAGGCAACAAGTGAGGCTATCCTAGAGGTGCAAGTGTGCAAAGTGTGTTCAATTCGGTTATCTTTATCTTGAATTAGGGTTTTGCTATGATTGGATTTAATCTTGCCATACAAATCCTAATTACTAACAGAAATAAGGAAAACATTAAAATGCAGAAATTAAATGTCCTACGCTATTACAACGCTTCGGAAATGAGGATACAAATTTGTGGACGGGGAGAAAAACAATAAACCTTAATTATCTATTACAGACCATAAGCGATTACATAATTGAAAAAAAAAAGCGAAATAATAAAATACGCTAAAAATTGTAAAATAAAGAAAAGAGAAAAGAAATTGTTTTGTGATTTTTTTTATAGAAAAAGGTTTAATGATTAACCTAACTATTTAAATGATTTTTCATTAAAAAAGAGTTTAGTAAAAAAAACCTAAAGAAATTAAAAAAAATCAATTAATTAGAAGGAAAACTAATTTAGTTAATGTAACAAAAAAAAACCTAAGTCTAAGTTTAATTTTGCAATAAGGAAACTAAATGTTAGAAAATATTTTTGATGTTAATGTCAATTTAAACTTAATTTTAAATTAATTAGAAGTTAACTAAATTAATTAAAAAAGAAAACTAATGTCTAATTAATCAAAAAAATAAAAATATCAAAATTAATATGAATTAACCTAAATCTAATTATTTTAAATAAAATTGTATTTTTTGTATTTTAATCAAATGAAAATAAATAAAAGTAAAAGAAGAAAATATATAGAATAATAAAAAAAGATTGGGCTTGGCATTGTAAAGAGAAATTGAAGGGGTGCTGAAAAGAAAAAATGTATTAGACCCCAAAACAAGTTTTTTTTGTTTGAAGACAAAAAAAGAGTTAGAATGGGCCTAACAATTCAGTAAAAAGGAGGGTGTTGAAAGCAGACAGCTTAGGCCCAAAGAGCAATTCGTGGATCCTGTATGACCAACTAAAGGGGGTCTATTGTAGGGAAGCCAGTTTGGAGCGTCGGATCTTGGCCTGCAGAGATCTGATGGTGAGAAGTTGAGGGCGCATGAAGCACGCATATACTTGTTTGTACTGAATCTGCAAGAAACAAATATGTGAAAAATAAAAGGGTACTATTGGGACTCGAACCCAGGTCCCTTACATTAGTGCGTGTTTGTCTTACCACTGGGGTGGCTATTTCATCTGCTTATGAAACATCCCCCAGTAAATATATTATAAACCAAGTTAGAAAATTTTGAATTTTCTATCTTTTTCTTCCTCGCGCGTACAACATAACAACAACACCATTGATGATTCCTAAAAGCTTCATTCCTCAACCATTTTGAAAAGTATAAACACCAAACTTGCTTAAATTTAAACAAGGAATCCAACCATGTAAATTATTTAAGCTATAAATCAAGGATGAGTGAGAATTTTACTTGGTACCAAACTGAAAACCTAATGTTTTAGGAACTTCAGTTTCAAAATTCTCGTCACACAGTCAATTAAAATGAAAACTAATGATATGATTTGCTTCATAGACATAATATCTATATTTTTCATTTTAAATGTATTTACAAATGATGCTTAAATGAAGATATCACAATTTAGAAAACTTACCTCTGAAGTGAGAACCGAGTTTGAAGCTAGAGCACTTCTGGAGGTGTTGTGATGATATGGATAACTTCACTGAACTCCCATGAAGCTTTTGCAATGCCTATTTTGGATTGAGAGTTCCTCAATTCTTTTGGATAAGTCAAGTTGCAGCGCTATGTTTTTGAGTTTGGAGGATGATGAAGATGGTGTTACAATGATGAAACATGGGTATGGATGAATTATATGTGATTTATAGGAAGCGTTTGGATGATTGGTTTAGACAATAGTTGTAAGGTTTGAGAGATTCGAAGATTTGGACTTCAAATCTAAAAAATGGAGGTTTTGTGTACAATTCTGACTTGGGAGAGTTTGAGAGGGTAGAGGGCTTGTGAACTCGTGTCTTGGCTGACCTCTCTATTTATATAGAAAAGTTTTGAGGGTAAGGGTTGATCAGGTTTGTAAAGTTATGGTTTGGTTGACTTAGTTGTGAAACAACCTTGAAGAACATGGTTCCAATGCCATGTACTTTGTCTCATAGAGTTGTTGGACACTTTAAACACGTTCCTATGAGTTTTTAGGTTGAGTGTGATCAGAAGAAACAAGTGAGGAGCTCAATGCATTGACTTTTGCAAAAAACTTTCTTTATGTAAATGGAAATGGTGACTTTGTGCCATTAATGGAAAATTGTCTTGGACAAAGCTTGAATCAAGTGGATAATGGTTCAAAAGTTTGTGTAATCTTCTAATTATGGATATATTTAGAGGTTAGAGGCCTACAAAGTGAGATTGCACATCATGGTTATGATATTTGGTTATGAACTTGTCACAAAAATGACCTATAATTCAAGAATGAAATTCCAACTTCATGTCTTCGATTCTCTTAGCTCAAGCATGAAGTAGTGGCTTTATTAAGAACAAAACACTTAGAATTTTTTCTAACTGTTGGAAAATTTTGACTTTTGTTGACTTTATTGACTTTGTTGATTCTTGATGATCAAGCTTGACAATTTTGAATGTTTTGATGATTCTTGGTCTTTGAAGTTCAATGTTGACCAAAAAGTCAAAGTTTGACTTTTGTGTGACAGTTGACTTTTTTATAAATTGATTCAATTCTTCAACTATCAATCACTTGTATATTTGGAAATTTTTTGAGCCATGTAATTAGGTCAAGATGTTGTGTTTAAGCCCTTGAGATCATGCTTTAAGCCATTAGGTCATGCACTAGGTCAAAAGTCAATAATCAATCATCTTCAGTAAAAACCCTAATTTGGCAATTTTTTACCTTTGATGATTTGAGTGCTTCCCTTGAAGCATCATGACCAAACCTTGATCAAATGATGAATATCACTTCAAAATGTTGATGTTGACCAAAAATCTTGAAGTTTGATTATATGTTGACCACAATTGACTTTTTACTATATACAGTTGATTTTCAGTCATCTGAGTCATTGGCTGAGCAAACTTGTGATACAAGGCATGGAATTTGACATGAGCATTCTTGAAGACATATGAAGAACCATGAAAACCACTTGAGACCTTGGAAACCCAATCTTCCTTGAGAAACACAAAACCTTAGTTGTGGACACATTGCTTAGAAGGAGAATTTGTCTGATCAATTCTTGAGCCACCTTGAACATTTGAGAACCTTAGGAGAATATATTGAATGAAAATGTGAGGGAAAATTTTGGGGTACAACAGTTGCCCCTGTTCAATCTTATTAAACCTAAAGAGTCAGATTG